TGAACCCTTTCTTGAAAACATTTTCAACCACTCACTGCCTTCTCTATGTTTGATGGGTGAGGAATCTCAAGTTGGGAGAGCCCGTAGGCTTCTATGAAATGGGTAATGGGGTTTCTAGTCGGCTATCTATCAATTCGCCTAAAAATGATGCATGAATTTATGGATTCTGAAGTGGTACTAACCTTCCGGTTCTCAAAGGTTCAGTAGTGGTGAATTAGTCACTACGGGAAAGTTCTTCTAAAGGGTTTTTCGATATCTTCTACCTTCATTCTTTTCAACCCAGATCTTATGCATTTCCATCTCTATACAGTACTGTTTTGTACTGTACCAAGAAGAGATCGAGAGTAGGAAAAGGATAACGCATGCCTCCGGGCAGATCTCTATCGCGTGATTTAGGTCACCACCATACTAAGGGTGTAGTTGCTGGCGGCTTTTGCCTTTGCCCCAGGCTAGAAGGCATATCACTCCTCAGCTAGCCTCTATCGGTAAGTATATAAGTGACAGTGCTCTGTATTACAGCACGTATCACTACCACCATCTATCATTGTTCAGTTCCTACCAAACCATCCTGAATCCAACATTGGTATTCAAATCCTATTTTCTATACATCTACGTTGAGAACCTAGCAACCAATTTATGTATCCTTCCGCTTGCAGAGACTCGAAAATGCCACTCCACCGTCTCGTGGTTGCTTTCCTGGTGCTGTCGCTGTTGGCACTTCATGAAGCCGTTCCATACTTTCCTGGTTATATGATGGGCGGCCGAAGAGGCTTTATGGGAGGCCCTATGAGAGGTCCCATGATGGGTGGACCAATGAGAAGACATGGCTTTATGGGTGGACCAATGGGAGGTGGTCTTGGTGGACCTATGATGGGACGATATGGCCGTATAGGTAAGTTACTGTTGCTCTGTCGATAAAAAATCAGATTTCTGTCTAGAATTTGTATTTCCTTCCTTTTATTACAGGAGGATTCGGCATGGGAGGTCTGGGCATGAGGCCAGTACCGTTCTGATTCTACTTTCGACATTGTAAACGACTGGTATACCGAATGATGGAACTAACTATCACGCAAGCCACTAGATTTTTATTAGACTACGCTAACCTGGAAAGGAGTTCCACCATAACTTGATTTATTTTTGTATTCAGATATAATAGCTATTTATTTATGAGTTTCCAGTATTTAGATAGTTATTTATTTATGAATTGGTATTTTAGTGGTATTCAAGTAGTATTCAGTATATCGTATGTATATTTATTCAATGTTTCTATTTATTTGGAGTAGTTGTATTTTATTGATTATAAGATTGATTATATGAATATGTATAATAATACTGTAGGTCGCATTTCAATGTAAATATAGGCATGAACGTTTTGTCGCTACTGTCAGCTATTCGACTCATGAGGCAACGCCGACCTAGCCAATGATACTACAGAGCTGCTTGATCTGAATTAGCAATATTTAATTAATAAGAGTTGTGGTTGCATGATGTGATAACATATTTTCATATTTTTATTTTTCATATTTTCATATTTTCTCTACCCGATTGTAATTGCGATACTTCTATTTATTGAAGAGAATGATATGTGATCGTATTAATAGAAAAAATAAACTGTTTTTTTTTATTTTCACTTGTTTTTTGGAGGGTGGAACTACAGCCTCGTTTCCTGGCTGAATTCCGTAGGACCTGTTACTCTATTACCAAGAAGCAGGACCTTGAGAAACATGTGTCATGCGTTCTGCACGGTTCAGAAAAGTGGTTGAATATGTATGGGCTTGTAGTCCAAATAAAATCCCATCCGAGCACAGAGCTAAACTCAGCGCTCTGTCCACCCGAGACAGATGCCATTCAACTGTGGACAGCTATTGGGAGAATGAGTTGGCTTAGGATGGACTGAATCCTCAAAACAACCGGAAAGCTTTGGCTCTTATAAGCCAAGTTTTAGTTTCTAAGCGAAATAAGGTGTAGAAATCGCGCAGCAGTGGGGATTAATGATTGTTTAACCTGCCTTTTATTCTTGCGAAGGTCATGAATCCCATACCAATGTCAAATGGAACGAGCCTAGAAGCCTAGAATATAGCCTAGCATAAATTAACGTCAAATTATTTCAAGACTACCCTTTACATGTATGAAGCGCTACCTCAGACGTTCATTGAGATCGGGAAAGGTAGGGAAAGGCAATGATAATTTTTGTGGCTAAACACTTTTGGGGCTACAAATCTCCAATGTTCCACCAGCCTTCGAGCAGTATGAAGAGCATGTAATATATGTAGTTCACACCAACGCTACTTTTCCGTTCACCCGAGATTCTTTTTCGTTTCTCTCCCTGTTTCGATTTCATTCATCAAGCTGTCAACAACCTCCACTCAAGTCACATATTCTATATTTACCTAACGTCTGTACAGGGCCTCCTGACCGGATTCTGTTCGCAGTTGGCTTTTGATTCCCCTTCTAACCATGAGATCGCATATAAGTTGTGCGTGGTTCCGTCCGGCACTCGATTCTCCACATTCTGAACTCATTTCGTTCGATGTTATCTCCGTTCAAGCCCCTACGGTCTTGTATTGTAGGAACAAATAATTAGATGTACTTGACTTCACAACACCACATCTTTCAGAAATCCTCCGGAATGCGCTACTACTACATTATGCTCGTAGTATTGACGATACTCTTGCCAACGCTATCTCTCATGGGTATGATGATGGGGCCAATGATGGGAGTTATGATGCCAATGATGTGCGATAACATGACGACACATATGCAGATGATGATGAATATGACGATGCCCATGGATTGTAAGTTTGTTAATAAACCTTCCACCTAATGCAAACATGTTGTCTTGACCCAGAGATACTGGCCCATGGAGGAACTGCCCTGGGAAACGGAACGGCTGCTTCTTGTTCGGGGTTCAATACTACTGAGAGAAACTCTTCCATAAAAATATCTACTCCTGAAAGACTTCATAATTTTTGGATTCCAAGAAGGATCAACTGCCTTCTCGAAAAGTACCCCCTCGAAAAACTAGAGATGAGACTGTCGTTAGGAATAACATATAGGAAGGTTCAGAGAATTTCGACGGTAGTACGTTAGTACGTTCGACGATGTTCGACGATCTCAGAAACCTCTACCGTGACCAAAAATATACATCAGTGCACTATATAAAAAACGTATCCTTCTAGAGGCTATACCGCAGGGTAGGCCTCGCCATAGGATGTAAAATTTCCACACAACCTCTTTATGGAACTTGCCGCCTTCTGGGAATATGGGATCACAGGATTTCCGAAAACCATCGGCTTTCCAGCTTTTTTACGGTTTCTTGACTTGGGGTACTATTCTGCATTAGCAACTTCACTCTTTGACTGATCTCCATACATCTTTTCACTGCTAGCTGTACCTCTGAGAAACCCACATACAACTTCTTGGAAATATGTGAAAATAATGTATGTAAAAAAATGTAAAAAGAAAGTGCATGATCTAAATAATGCATTGAATGGTGTAGACGGCAATCACTCCAGCGTAAAGCTAGAGTAGTCTCGGTACAGAAGAAGAGACTAACCGTCATCATAACATAGATTAAAGGAGGAAACTTCAAATTTTATCGCGTGGACTATCCAGTAAGGATTGTGCGATATCAAGACAAGAACTACTTTCCAGCGACGAGAGAGGAGCTTATTAAGGGGCATCATTAAGCTTCCGTTGTCAACTTTCAGCGATCAATATTCCGGTCAGAAGGGGAAATAAATGTAGATGGCATCTACCGATGGGGATCATTTTCCTCCAACAGAAAAGATCTCATCATGATCACATTCCTATTGCTTGATACGTATTTCGCCCACTTTTTCCGTCGTGCCAGTGAGCCCTGAACTGCAAAGGTACCCTCACTACAAGGGATAAGAAAAGATAGTACCTCCGTTTCAGCTTATGCCTCAAGTAAATAAGTGAGGTTTGGGATCCAATATTGTAAATCGAAAGTCGAAAAAATCTAAATGATAATAAAAGACTGAATTTGTTCATAGCAGGGAGCCCATAAATATAATTTGCATCAGAGTTTTATTCAAATTCTTTCCATATTTTACTCAAATTCTCAAGTTTTTTGGCCATAATAATGGTTTCAGGTAGTATGGATGAAGGATCTTCAAGCACTGGAAGTCTAAGTGAGGAAGGTCGAAGCCGGGATCATGAAAGAACTATGAGTGCCGTAAATACGAGTAAAGGAGATGAAAGTCCCAGTCATGAAGGAAGTCAGGAGGCTGTGACTTTGAGTAGAGTAGATAGCGGTCAAAACCAACGTTGAACTGATCGTCTATCATCTTCACTGCCACCGAGTACAGTCGTGCATCCATATTTTTCCCCAAAGCCCATACTGGGAGTTTAATCCCATCAACGATTCAATATGAATGCTACGAACATGATATTCATTACAGTGCTTGAATTTAAAGTCTCGTAGGGTATCGGGATGTTTAGATTAAACCTAAATAGATGGATGGCGAGATGATTTCATTCATAGAAGTTTCGTAGGAGGCAGGCGAATAAGCAGAATTGTTAGCCATATAAGGTATTTGTGAACCTTGTGGAAAGTGTATCAGTAAAGTGATGTCAGAGAAATGCCGAGGTTTATCATGAGCCTCATATAGAGTTCGTTATTTCACGTTATGTTTTGGTGCCTCGTTTACTTCTGCTATGAGAGTCAACATGATGTGCGTCCAATCCATCAAGTACTAACCGCTTGAAGTGAACAATATACAAAATCTTTCTAACAAAAAGCACAATAAAGACTAGCGGAGCCCTCATAATGGCAGCTTCCGCTAACCCAATTGCTGTGCCTGCAACTTATGAAATCTTCATTCAGTTGCTCGAAAGAGACTAATTTTGGCCCACTGCTGCAGAGATTTTTATAGAGCTCGCACCTAGGCCGTGTGCTCTGGAAGTCCTGAAAAGAGCATGCAAAAAAAGTCACTGAAGAGGCACTAGTTGCCCGAAACGATGATCCTAACCATGAAAATTTTCTAGCGCAGGGCCCATGTCTAATTCGAGAGCAGCAACTCCATTCTATCCACTAGCACTGCAATCGGTGTAAAAATAGTGATCGCATGTCAGTTCAATAAAAAAAACCATCTTAGGTCGCAAAAAATATTTCCTAATAAAGCTTATAAAAGCGGCATTCGACCTAACCGCATCATTTCTATTCCTAGACTGGTCTTAACCATTCAGAATACTGGGTAGGTTGAAACTGGCCCACGTTTCTTAGAAAAGATCAAAATGAGAAAAAAAACGAATTCAGTTGCTTCCACACTATCTGAAGGGTGAGTCTTATTAACCTTGTCTTATTCTTTGAGATTTATTCAAAGCCATGCCAAGATTCGTTGAGAGTCGAACTCGGGCAACTGAGGAGTTATTTTCTAAATACATGGCATAATAGCAATCGGAAAATGTTGTTCCAACGATTGCTACGTGAAAAATTTCTACAAAGCAGAATTCAAACTTTGCTTTAGACCCAGGTTTGCGCCGTTTTCTCATGCAGAGACCATCTTCGTCATTCGACCGAGCACTTGTACAATTCTTTGGTCAAGAATGTGCTACGGTTAATCATCTGTAATGTCCCGCAATTCTTTCATCGCTGCCGACGCCCGTTTCACTAACGTCTTTTTTTCCTGTCTTACCATTTAATTCCAGCATTGCTATCACAGAACGTTCTGTCTGAAGGGCTTAAGGAGAAGATTACGAAGGCAAGGTCACTCAAATGCTAGAAGTAGAAATTTGGGACATTCTGCGGCCAAGAGGTGACCTAAGAGCTTCATTACTTAAAACCATGCCAACATCTGACATTCGGGGGGCGCGCGATTCTCGCGTGACCCCACTAGAGCTATTCGCGCACGCAGCATCATTTCAGAACCTTTCTGTTGAGATGGACCAAATAAGATTTGCAGTAGTCCACGGCTCACCCTCCAACATTCCACCGGTGCTTGCTTTCACCGCTATCCCGTTTGAGATCGATCTCAAGATATACCATGAAGTGATCATGGCTTTTAGCGAGAAGAACTATCAAAGTAACTTTCTGTTTACTACGTATTCCATCATCGTCACTCCTGCATGAAAGTGACTCTGAAAGAACAAACTGCAAAGCACTTG